AACCTGTGTACCCAGAGAAATTTTGCAGATAAGCTCATACACAAATGTACAGCTGAACACTGTGCATACTATACAGTCTATCAAATACCATAAAACACATTTATACCTCTTTCCTGGCAATCTCTTGGAGCCGCCTGGGTAGGCGTTTAATATTGTGACTCATAGCTCGCCTTCGCATGTGCCTAGGTAGAGTCTGGAAAACTAGACAGTTGGAAGACTTCTGTGCAACTGCTTTCAACATGGCATTGATCTCAGCAGCACGAGCTTGAGCAAAGGCAGACACTGGAATGAAAAGAACTGCATCAGAGCACGACAAACAGCAAAATTCAAAGAAGGGGACACTCTACGTAAATTACTGAATTCCAGCAGAGTATTCCTAGTACATCAGTTTAATGACTTCTTGAGATAAAAGTAAATACTGTATACTATTACTAAAAAAAAATTCAATTCTTTAGATATTCTGAAGCTTACTGATATGGTTAAGCAAATACTTATACATAAACGAATCTAAAAGCTGTGGTATAACCAACAAGTCCTATATGCATTAAGTACTTCTTTATTAAATTACAGTAGCGATCTTTTCAGATAGTATTCAGAGAAATGGAAAAAAAACTTCAGCGTGGAAAAAAAAGGAAGTAGTAATCATATTATAAACTGTTTTAAAATGATCAAATAAAAAAATCCAGAGGTTGGTCTTGTTTTATGCTTATGGAAGTGTATCTACTATCAGAGCACCGCCACATTGAAAAGCTAATCTGCTGTCCTAAATAAACTTTCTGATAGATGAAGTGTCTTTAACTCACATCATGGGCAAAACCAGTTTCACTGGCTACATTAAAAGCAGATGGCTGTCAGTACTCATTTTGCTGACACACAAAAACCTAAATGCATACCACTCGTTACAAGTAAGTGCAACTTTTCAACTCAGAAGTCTGAAAGGACTCTTTGAACAACAGCTGGTCATTTATCCCAGTACACAACTACTTCTGTATTTTGGAGACAATTAGGAAAAACAGAAGAACATAGCATCAGTTCTAATTTTTGCTCTTGCACAGAAACAAGAGGGAAAAAAAAAAAAAAGACTGACAACAAACTTAATCATCAGCAAGTTGCCTTGGCCATATAAATGATGAACTTTTTCTCATATACAAACCTGTTATGTATTTTGGCATTTCCTCAGGAACACTCTGGCGTCCTCCTTGCCGTCCTCCTCTTCCTCTCTCTCCTCTATTCTGCCCTTTTGGAAAATACTGGTCTTTCCTGTAAGAAGGCCCAGATGACTGGTTCGAAAATTTCTGCTGCTGATGCTGCTGCTCAGAACGAACATCTCCTGGAGGGTTTAGAGGTGAAAAGAGGTAACAGAAATGCAAATCAGTCTGAGTAACTGATAACTATACACAGTCTTTCCTCATAAGATTGCATTGCACATTCCTCCTATTATATCATAGGATCATAGAATGGTTTAGGTTGGAAAGGACCTTGAAGATCATCAAGTTCCAATCACCATGCCGTAGATCGGGACACCTCCAACTAGACCAGGTTGCCAAAGGACACATCCAGCCTGGCCTTGAACACCTCCAGGGATGGGGCCTCAACAACCTCTCTGGGCAACCTGTGCCAGTGCCTTACAACCCTCAAAGTGAAAAACTTCTTCCTAATGTTTCATCTAAACCTGCCCTCTTCCAGTTTATAGCCATTACCCCTCGTCCTGTCACTACATGCCCTAGGAAAAAGTCCTTCCCCAGCTCTCCTGTAGGCCCCCTTTAGGTACTAGAAGGCTGCAATAAGATCTCCCTGGAGCCTTCTCTTCTCCAGGCTGAACAGCCCCAACTCTCTCAGTCTCTCCTCATAGGAGAGGTGCTCCAGCCCTCGGATCATCCTCGTGGCTCTCCTCTGGACACGACCTCGACGGTCCATGTCTTTCTTATGTTGAGGACTCCAGAGCTGGATGCAGTACTCCAGACGGGGTCTCACAAGAGTGGAGTAGAGGGGCAGGATCACCTCCCTTGACCTGCTGGCCACACTTCTTTTGATGCAGCCCAGGATACAGTTGGCCTTCTGGGCTGCGACTGCACATTGCTGACTCATGCTGAGCTTCTGGTCAATCAGCACGCCCAGGTCCTTCTCCTCAGGGCTGCTCTCCAGACATTCCCCACCGGGCCTGTATATGTAATATATGTACCTAAAAAAGCCATCAGTAATCAGAAGAATTAAGCTCTTTTTAAAAGGAATAAATAAAAATTTTGCACTGTCCTGCATCAAGCCTGCAGTAGACTAAGTAACTTTCGCACATTCTGAAAATAGTACCCTATCAGACTTTGCCTCAGACCCAGCAGGAAAGACCTGACTAAAATCGATCTACGCAACATCAATAGTGATTTTTACTATTGTCTAGTCACGGTTTTAGTACCAAACTAGCAAAGTTAATATTTTTCCCTCTTGCCCCCTCATTTTTTTTTCCCCCATAAGCAAATGTATTCTTGTCTCACTGACATATATTTCTGTTACAGCAATAAACAAGGTAACCATGATACATGTATGTTGGTGCAGTAAGTTACTTTTCTGGTACAGGCATTTAAACCAATACTGAAATTAAATAACTAAAGCCTACAATAAGCTTCCTAAGGTACAGAAACACCTTTCAAGAGTGATAAGCATCTAACAGTACTTCAAGTTTAAGAGGACCTTGAAGTCCATATTTAAAGATGCTTATATTAGCTTATATTCAACCTATTCAGTTAAGTCTTGGTTAGGATTTCTAGTACAACTTGAGATATGGTTCTCAAGCAACTCATGATGGACAACTGGACTAAAAAGGGCCAAGACAACCATTCCCACCACCCCACCCACTGTGTCAAGATGAGTGCTTGAAGGAACATGGGGCCATACAGTTCAGGGAGCTCCTCTAGTGAAAATAAATCTGTGCATCAGGAGAAATGGGGCAAGAGATTAAAACAAAAAAAAAAAACAAAAAAAAGTTTTCAGGTTGATCAGATTCTTCAACAAGCCTATCACATTGTCCCAGAAACGCTACCATTGGCATGAGGAACAGACAGGAGCAGATTCACCTCCACTAGCTGCAACTTATGTGAACTTAAAATGTCAAGGAACCTCCTCTTTCCATTTCACATAAGCACGAAGCTTGAAGCTGAAGTTCAGCAGCAATGCTGTTGCAGCCCCAATGCAACCACACATCACGCAGAACTGCAGTAATTCAGATAAAAAAATACTGTGGGGTGGAAACTGAAGTTAGTTTTTATGTGGAATAACTCCCTGATCTGAGTTCTCCACATGGCTGAAAGCAACACTGTCCAGACAGTGAGGTAAAGGTGTGAAGGAAATAGCTGGGAGAGAGAGATGGATGCTGCCTCAGTCAGCAAATCTATGGAGACCTACCTACAGCCCAAGCCAAACATGGGAAGGTGACTGGACAACAATTAACTCATCACAAAACCACCCTTTCACTATCAAGTTAGCCTAAGAATGCAAGAACTAACTATTTTAATCAGAAGGTGGAAGAGTGTTTCGAAAGACAGTGACTGACTTAATACCTAAAGAAAAATTAAATTATTTCAGGCACTATGTAGATCCATAGTTTTATAACTCAAATTTTCTTCTTTTCTACAAAATAGAACTGAGATACTCACTAACACTACAGAAGAATGTTATATGGATTAAAATGCATGCTATTCAATGGGACAGAAAAACATAACCACGTAATCTTACAAGTTCCCTGCTTCAAATAAAGTTAGAAAAACGTGCTTAATCTGGCAGTACTCCTGTAATGATCTTCCAAGATCTTCAGACAGGGCTGACCATAATTTGCTATGTCATTCTGTCTGCTTAGGAACTCTTCAGTCACCTACATACACAGTGGCACTTCAGCATTATTATTATTGTTCAGCCATAAAGATGCAACTGAACACCTCCTGAAGGCCTCATAGTTACAGGCCCTGCTCTTTTTTTCTGGTTCCCCCCCCGAAACAACATAGGTAACAAGAAAAACATGAAATGGGGGTGAGTGTGGAAACCGAAGTCCAACTGAAGCATTCAGGATGAAACACACAGATGAAAAAAGCATCTGGCATACAGGCTGACAGGATCCTTCGGTCTTCAGCCGCAAAGGTTACCTGCCTACAAGATGCTGCCGCAGTGACCCAGCAGCACTGCCATTTTAGGGACACGCCTTGCTGCCTCCTGCCAATACTCTTCCACAGATAGAGGAGCCACAAGCGCCAAAAAGCGAACCGGTGGGGCACAGCCGATCCGGCGGGAAGCGGCGCAGTGACCGGCCAGCGGGCCCGGCCGGCGCCGCCCGGGCCTGGCAGAAAGCGAAGGGAGGTCTCTGCACGGGCTGTAACGTAGAAATTCATTTTAAGCCTCGTAAGCGCGGCGGGCGGACAGGGACTTGTCGTGCAACCGGAGGGATGACGCAGAAAAACGTGTATTAAGGAGAACCACGGCCAGAGGAGCCACCGCCAGGGGACGGAGCGCAGGGGTGGTCCCACACCGGGCGCGCCTCGCCGGCCGCCAGACCGGAGAAGACGGG